ACCGCCTTCACCTCCAGTGCCCGTTTGTCTTGGAAGCTTGAAAAGGGTCCTCTGTGTCGCTTTGTGTTTCGCCTCGCTCCGTTGAGAGCTGGCTGTAGGGCGAGGGGCAGAGCCTCATGGAGTGTGAGGGAAGGTGGTTAAGTGAACAGAGGTCTTGAGCGTTGTGGCGCCAGCTGGGAGAGGGCAGGGATTGCAAAGGCGCAGGGTCTCCGGTTTATTGTCCCACTCTGTGGGAAAGCGGAGTGCAAACTGCTCTTCTGAGGTAGCTAGAGCTTGCAAGTGTGCCCTTACACTGTTAAACTTACTTAGGTTGACCAAGAATGGCTAGCAGCGGTGACTGGTTCCAGGGTGCTAAAGTTGCCACCGCACACAAGAAGACTTCGCCAGCTTGGGCTCCTGCGCAGCCGCTTTCAGTGAATCTTTCTCAGGCTGGAACTGAAAGGCCGAAACTTCCACCTTCTGAGAGGCACAGTACACCAGAGGTGACACAAAATCCAGGTATAGTTTTCAGTTTATGCCCTGAGATTAGCTGTTAAAATACACTATTAATGTGTGTGAAAATAACTTCTCGAACAGTTGCAATCCTCTGCAGCTTTTTCTTGTCACTGTTCTTTCTTCAGCGATTTCTTAAGCATCTGCTTGACTTTGCCCCTCTCCTTCCTATGTCTTCGTTTCATACTGGAAGTTAGAGATTAGTTGTAGGGTGGGTTATATATAGCCTGCAGCGTTTCATAATTATAAATTCCAATTTATACATTAAAAGTGCAGTAGAGGTTACCAGAATACAGGATAAGTGCTACTGCATGAATTTTCATAGAGAGTGTTGCAGAAAGTTTTAAGTCCAGGGGTCCCAGGATGTATTTTGAATTTTACCTCTTCAGGTAGTTGCATTGAGGTAAAGGCACCTATGTATGAGAGTGAGAGATACCAATTTATTTTAGTTCTTTCAAGGTGAGAGATACTCGTGCCTCAGTATATGGGAACCATGAAGATGAAGATTCCATTCCTCCTAGAGTTGATAGGTGGAAAAAGATTTCTGTTCTTTTGGTTTTTTGGGTTTTTTTGGGATTTTTTTTAAGTCTAAAAGAACACACTGATTCTTCACGGAAGTAGGTGCTGCAGGAGATGTTAATCGGTTACTCTATAGGCCTCCAAGTCAAAAAATAGCTGCCCAGATACACTGTGCTCCTTGGAAGGGTTTATCTTTCCAATGAAACCCACAAGTGTGGGTTTAATTGGGACTACTCAGAATTTAAAGAAGTCTCCGTTCAGCCTGGAGAAGTGGAGGCTCAGGGGCAACCTTATCAGAGTCTTCCAATACCTAAACGGGGTGTACAAGAAGCCTGGAGAGGGACTTCTTACAAGGGCATGTAGTGACAGGACTAAGGGGGAATGGCTTTAGACTGACAGAGGGGTGATTTATATTAGCTATTAAGAGAAAATTCTTCCCTGTGAGGGTGCTGAGGCCCTGGCACAGGTTGCCCAGAGAAGCTGTGACTGCCCCATCCCTGGCAGTGTTCAAGGCCAGGTTGGACACAGGGGCTTGGAGCAACCTGCTCTAGTGGAAGGTGTCCCTGCCTGTGGCAGGGGGTTGGAACTGGTTGAACTGTAAGGTCCTTTCCAACCCAAACCATTCTGTGATTCATTCTGTGTTTCTATGACTTGGCTAACTTGCTTCACTTTGCTTTCTGAAGTCTGTAAGTGCTTTCTGCTGGGACAGATGAAATACCCACCCACTATCCTGGATCCAGGTGGGGTTACTTTTGGTTATGGGGAGGACTTGCAGGACCAGGGTGTGTGTGCAGTGCACCTGTGCTTATGTTTTGTCCTGGCCACCTTAGCCAGAGCTGCTGACTCTGTATTCACCAGTTGTTTGTGGGTGGGTTTCTTTTTCTTTGAAAGAGTTACCTGCTTTTTGAGTTACGTGTATGGTTGCTAAAACTTTCATTGTGTCTTGCTGCTTCATAGTTCTGTGTGGAAAACCACAAGCTCTGTTGTTCTGAATCTGCCATCAGCAACTTTCATTTGATCACAGGTTTGGAAGGGAGGGGAGGGGACATACATTTTGTATTTACCTGTGATACCTGTCTACATTGAGAGGTTAATGGATTTAGTACTTACTGTAAAAGCTTTGATATTTTTAAAAGAGAAGTTACGCACCATTTCGGAATTGCTAGTATTGTTAGTATAGGATTCAGTGCTGCTGTAGAGGAAATGTTTTTGCTTTTTGTTTTTCTAAAAATCTATAAAGCATTGATTGTAAACAGATTTAACTGTTAAAGAGTTTTTTTCACTTCTTTTCTTAATTTGATTTCAGACCCTTTCCTTCGGAAAGCGGCCCATGCATGCCCATTACCAGCACTTCCTGAGAAGAAAGATCTAGAGCAGTTTACTGCAAAATATGAAGAGGGAAAAATGCACCCTGTATCTGCCTTGCACGAGTTTGCACGTATGCACAATGTACAGCTGGAATTGAAAGAAACTGGTGTGGCAGGTAAATACTTCCTCTTTTCTTAAATAAAATAATATTTGCTCATCCTTGAGATTATCTAAATTTCTGCAGATAGTATTAATGGCACTAATACAGATGAATTTTTTTACTGTTGGCTGAACTACTCTCCGCGTATATTGCTTTTTGGAGGCCCTTTCATTGTCTAGAGAGCTATGTCTCATCATTAATTACTACAGAATTTGATCAGATGAATCGTATAAAATTATGACTGCTACCAGAGCTTTGCGAAAATGCTTAAAGTGAAATCTGCTGAAATTCATGTGGAGGTGAAAGGTTTGAGTTGTATCTTGCTAAAATTGTTTTTTTTTCTCTTGCAAGCACATAAAGCTATGGATGCAAGTACTGTAAAATCATTTCACCAATTGTGTCTCTTTTCTTTCTCCTTTAAAGGCAGTATCATAAGGCCTTATTTTGCCTTTTGTGCTGTGGTAGATGGTGTTTGCTACAAGACTGGGCTGGGAAATACCAAGAAGGAAGCTAAACGAAATGCTGCTAAACTGGCTCTTGATGAGCTACTTAACTCTGAGTATCCCAGGGCAAAGGTTTTTGAAAAGTCAGGTAAATGTTCTAACAACACCTAATTAGAATTTAAAAGCTTGTCTTAAAGGTTTGCTGTGCAAAATCTCTCTAGCTTTATTAAATGATTTTGTATCGGGGCCTCTGCCAACATTCTTGAATCCTTTGGGCAGAACTATTTGTGATAATGGTTCTGAAACTTGTTTTTTCCGTTGTCTTTTGTGTATTGGGAATTCCATCAGTTTGTATTGCAGGGTGGAGAATACTGAAGGAATTGATTTGTTGCTGCTGTAGTTGATTCACTACTTACTAGGTAACAACAGTATGAAGTTAATCCTAAGTGGTTTGGGATTTTTATGATTAAAAGGCTTTCACACTGAGTTACTACTATCAAAAAAATTCAATTTTATAACTGAATAACATTTAGTTTATTTAAAAGTTGTTGCCTAAATACGCTTACAAGTACTTCAAAATTAGAAAAGAAAATTCTTAAGACGGTTAGAAACTTTAATTTGCTGGAAATAGTGCGAGATGCATGTTTTGGAATTTGTAATGTCCATCCCTGTTTGAAATTTTGTTGAATTCTTAGATCCTCCCTGTACTCCTGATTTATTATAACAAATAGTAAAAACATAAGGTGTTTAGGTGTTCTGGGCCTTTATTTGTTCATATCCATCCTGATAATCTTTAGAGTGTTTTGATAGTAGTGCTTTTAGCATGTGGTTAGATTTATAATTTGACAGGTGGTTGATCACGTCTGTTCCTCCTCCCCGCAAATACGTGTCTTGCTGGTTTTTATTGATTTTTTTAGAAAGAGGACCACTTGTATACGAACAACTTTCGCAAACAGTCGAGGAAGTGTTTAACAGTCTGACTGCCAAGCATCCCGAATACCAAAATTGTGGCAGTTCACTAGCTGCCTTCATCGTTGTAAAAGGCAAGTCTGTTTTGTGAGTATTGGTGAGTGGAAAGCCTAGGCTGTTTGTGTTCCCAGGGAGCCTTGAGGCACGCATTTCTGATCTGGTGAATGCAAAGTGAAGGGTAGATAAGATATCCTTCTTTGACATACTGTACTTCGATGGTTCTGTCACATGTGTGACTGCTATGGCCATGCAAATATTCAAGACCTACATAAACATTTTCTGGTGCTGTCTCAAGGAGGAATAGGGCTGTATGGACCAGTACAGGCCAGGGCAGGTGGATACACCTTGAAGGAAGCTGCAGTCTATGGGGAATCCACACAGGAGTAGGTTTCTAGCAGGAGCTGTGGTCCATGGACAGTAGCCCACACCAGACTAGGTTTTCTAGCAGCACCTGTGACCCCGTGGGGGACCTGCAATGGAGCAGTGTGTTCCTGAGGGCTGCACACCTTGGAAAGGACCCATGCTGGACCCAGTTCCTGGAGAACTGCAGGTGGTGGGAAGGACCCAGGCTGGAGTGCTTAATGAAGGGTTGTATCCTGTGGGAGGGACCCTGTGCTGGATCAGGGAAGGAGCATGGGGTGGAAGGATTAACAGAGGCAAAGTTTTAGGAATTGATGCTTCGCCATACCCCTGTACCACTCGGGTGGGAAGGAGGGGAGGTAGAAGAGTCAGGAGTGAAGTTGAGCCTGGGAGGAAGGGGAAGTAGGGGGAAGGTGGTTTTAGTTTTTGTTTTGTTTCTTGCTGTCCTACTCTAATTGTCAATAAAGTGAAGTGTATTTTGCACATGATGGTAAATGGTAAGCAACCCCTCTGTTCTTATTTTGACCTACGAGCTTCTTCATTTAGTTTTTTGTAGAATCAGAACCATTTAGGTTGGAAAAGACCTTTAAGATGGAGTCCAACCTGCTGGGGGACAGAGGGCGTGAGAGAGCAGCTTGGTGGGCATGTGCTAACCAGACAAGGTTAAATGACCACAGTTGGATTTTGCTAGATGGGCACCATGAAGTTGCAGCTCTGGCGACAGGAGAATGTAATTACAGTCGAGGCCTTCAAGTTGGTGGAAGAGTGCTGCATGACAGCCATGCCATTGTTACTGCAAGACGCTCCCTACTAAGGTGAGAATGTTTGTATGAATTGCTACCAGTTTTACTTTTGCAAATGTGAATAAATAAATGCACTTGCATTTTACAGTAAGTGTGTTCTGGGTTATTTTCAAATCCCATGAATTAAATGTGAATGTCCAGGTATTTGTAAGCAAAATAGTGTTTTCCAGATTTATTGCTACTCGATACTTTCTTTAGTAACTTAACTCTTTCTTTTAGATACTTTTATAGACATCTTCTGCTGTTCTATAATGAAAATCCAGTGAGGAGAAAGGAATCCATATTTTGCACAGCACCAGGCTCAAAGCTGCTTAGCCTCAAGCAAAATACAACTGTCATTCTCTACATGAATCAGCTTCCGAAAGGAACTGCTCAGTTAAAATCACACATGTAAGTACCTTCGTGTTTTCGGAGATGTAGTGGACAATTGTCCTGGGTTCAGCTACAGCAGTCATTTTGTCTCCTTCTTAGTAGCTGGTGCAGTGCTGTGTTTTTGACTTTCAGTCTGGGAACAATGCTGATAACACCGATGTTTTTAGTTGTTGCTCAGTAATGTTTACTCTGACCAAGGACTTTCTCAGTCTCATGCTTTGCCAGAGAGGAGGGGAAGCCAGGAGGAAGCAGAGACAGGACACCTGACCCAAACTGGCCAAAGGGGTATTCCATACCACAGCACGTCATGCCCAGTATATAAACTGGGGGGAGTTACCCGGAGGCGCAGATCGCTGCTCGGGTCGGGCTGGGTATCGGTCGGCGGGTGGTGAGCGGTTGGGTCCTTTTCCCTTGTTATTCCTCTTATCATTATTACTGGTAGCAGTAGTGGTTTGTATTATACCTTAGTTACTGGAGTGCTGTTATCTCAACTCGTGGGGGTTACATTCCTTCGATTCTCCTCCCCATCCCTCCGGGAGCGGGGGGAGGAAGGAAAAGGGGGGGAGTGAGCGAGCGGCTGCGTGGTTCCAAGTTGCCGGCTGGGCTTGAACCACGACAACAATTAATTTGATTACATTGCGAGTGTGGAAAATACGCATTGTTACGTGTTTCTGAGATTGGGGAGGACTATTCTGTTGTTTTGTTGTTTTTTTTTTTTTTCTCATTATTTGGAAGCATTAATGTACAGGGTGGTAGTGATAAGCGTCTGAGATGCAGCTCAACGTTTTAGTACAAAAAACTTCTACATGGCTGTTTGCTTGAGGGCGTTGCTTTTTTATTATAGATTCCTGTTTAGCTGTTAACCCTCTCCCAAGATACTATTAAAATACTAGTAAAACATTAATTCAACCATGGAGCCAGTGGAGGTGGTGACTTAATGTCATCTTTTCCACCACAGGACTACAGTATAAAAAGCTTTGAATTGAAACAGTAGGCTCCCAGTCTGCTTTGTAGAAAAAATGTAAAGAGAGAAACTTGATGCAACTAATATACTCCTATGCTTATCTTTACACATATAGATTTAGTTATATGTATTAAAGTTGGTGGGTTTTTTTGGTTTGGTTGTTTTGGTTTGTTGTTTTTTTTTTGTAGTTTTGACATGTACAGCAGCACTCACTGGTCTACCTAGTTATTACAAACGTTATTTTGTGTCTCTTACAGAGGTACTGGGGAATAATGTCCCTGAAAGTCATACAATCATAGCTTTTTTTATATGTACAAAACGGGTAGCTGCTTTCATACTGTCTTTGGTGTGTTAGAAAGGCAGACTTGTGAACTGGAAGTTACAGCCAGTTCACTGTAAGTTGTGCTGACTGGAAATCAGCGTTGAGAAGGTTTTTGATTTACTTTCAGTGTCATAGCCTGCTTTTACAAGGAAGCAGTTCATAAGACTAGATGCAGTTTGTAATTCAGCACTTTTTCTTTCTCTTGATTTCTCTCCGTTCTGGTCTGTGCTCTCTTGAGACAAACTCTGGGGAGTATTTTCTTCTAGTACAGCAGATTAGCTCATGTACAGCGTTATTTAAAGACAGTTCTTAGAAGGAAGCTACTCATAAGTAATCCATTGAGTAGAAAAATGTGGCCACATATTAAGGTGTGGTACTATGTAACTTAAGCCAAAATTAACTGGTTGCTTTATAATAATGTAATCAAAAGCATCTTTGATCATTTCATTAAAAGTTAGGATAAAATTGGGTAGAGTCTGCACAAAACTTAAGGCTTTGTCTTTTTGTCTCTTTTTATTTAAAGGGAAAGACTATGTTAGGCTTGGGAACAACCGTTGTTTTATTTCCCTAGTGAATGTGTTGCATCTCCTTGTTTAACATACTTTGAGGAATGGCAGTGTAAGTTATGTTTTAAAGGAGATAAACAACCTTATGGCTGCTTTTTCCCCGAGATGAGCAGTCTCCAAGTAACTTCTGTCATAGTGTAAGTAGACACAAAACAATAGCTTTTTTGCAGCCTATGCTCATCTTTTTTAATGTTTGCACAGCCAATGGCCAAGATCAGGTTGAATCACTATTCATTAAATAGTGATTTGGGTAGTCTTGTCACTTGAGCAGCTGAATGTGTCTTTTCTAATATTTACAAATATTGAACATAATGTAAAGCCCAGATCTAGTGATAATTGTTTTGAGAAATAGTATTAGGTACCACTTTACAATAATTTCTGAATATTTTCTCACTGAAACTCATTTTCTTGTCTTACTGTAGATGTCTCAACCCACAATCTATGTCTGCTTACGAAACTAGTGAAGAACTGAGCCTCCATGTTGTTATAGGAGGCAAGATATACCTAACTGTTTGTTGGCCACCTGAAACTGTCACAGCACGCAGTATGTCAGCTAGTGACAAATTAACAAAATGGGAAGTGGTTGGTGTTCAGGGAGCATTGCTGAGTCACTTCATTGAACCGGTATATATCCACAGTATTCTTGTTGGTAAGCTTAATTCAAATTTCAGTGGACTTTTTGTATGTTTCATGTTCCAGTTTGATTACATTTTATAAAACAGGAACTAAACCAAGATGGTTCTTTTAAAAATTACAGTGCTTTTCTGAAAAGATACTAAGTGTGTTTATTTTTTTTAACTCATCTTTGAAATGCCCTAATGTAAAAGTCAGTCAGGCTTGCTCTTGTGTCACTGTGGGTTTGGTTTGGCTTGCTGGATTGCCCTTTGTTTTTCCATTCATAGAAAGAAATTCGGCAGTATTTTATAACAAATCAAATTTTAGATATTAAGAAAATAACATGTGAAAATATGTTAACTGTTCAGCCAGATATGGTGACTTTAAGGTGACAGTGTTCTGCAAACAGAATATTGGAACTGATTTTTCCAAAGGTTATTTTTACGGAGAAGAATGAATATAATGTAAACAAAAAACACAGGGGGAAAAAAACCCCAAAACCAAAAAAAACAACCATAAAACCCCCAAACCAACCAAATACATGCATATTTGGGTTGTTTATTTGATGTACTTCCATGACTGATCTTGTTTTGTTTAACAGGAAATGGAAATTGCAAGGATACAAGAGGTCTTAAATTAGCTATACGACAGCGTGTTGATGATGCTTTTACTTTAAAGCTTCCCATGCCTTACGTGGTCAACAGATCTCATACTTACTTGGTGAATGCCGCACACCCAATTCAAACAAACGTTAAACAGATGTCTCTTAGCTTGAATTGGTCATTGTCAGATCTATCACTGGAGGTTGTGGATGGTTTAGATGGAAGAACCACTGAAAGGTTAGAATTTTTCTTTGGTATTTTGGAAGTAATGGTTAGCCTTATTGTTTTGTGCCAGTTCATTGGAGTATTCCTTTTTCTAAGCTATGCATGGAGGCCCCAGTATTAGCCAAATGAGAGAGGTTCTGTCTTGTGTTAAGTGAATGCAGCCTAAGATTATAAACCATTTTATAGATCTTGTAACTTTACAGTGAGATACCAAGATAGAAAATTATGTAGTTTTTTGAATTGAGGTATCTTTATTCCATTGTCTGTGGTAGTGAATGTTTTAGTTTTCATAGTATGTAAAACCAGTTGGCATCGTAGTTCAGATAAATTCTAGTATAAAAATGTTCTTTTGTTGGATTGTTCAAATTCTCACAGCCTCTGGTTTGCGTTACTGAAAGTGGAAGTAGAACCATATGATTGTGTTCACAAAACATTAGAGGGTAAAAAAAGCTTGTAATGATCAAAGCAACATAATGGTGATGTATTTGTTACTGAGTTGTTTGTTTGGTTTGGTGTTGTTTTGGTTTGGTTTTTTTTTTGTTTGTTTTTTTTCCCTCACTGTAGTTCACCCTTCAAAAGTGGCACTTACATGGCAAGTCGTCTTTGCAAGGCAGCAATGCTTAGACGTTTCAGATTGCTTGCAAAGGAAGCAAAACGATATGATTTGCTTCAAGTTGCAACGTACCATGAAGCTAAGGTAAGCTGGTATAGGGTTGGGGGAAAATTTTTGTATGGAGCCTCTCAATGGCTATTTTCAAAGCTAGTTTTGTAGCCAAGGGCAACTTTATGTTTTGTTGAAGACTTCACCTGAACAACTGGATCCCCTTCATTTCCTCTGATCTTTGCCTGAGAATGTCTCCAGTTGCTGGTTTGAAGTAAAATTAATCTAGTTTTTCAAGAATTAGTATTGAAACATTCTCTGTGAAAATCTGCCATGTTTTGTCTCGGCATATGGAGGTTGCTGGCCATTTTCCCCACATAAAATGTTTTCATATTTAGAGTTTGGGAGATTTTTGTTCGTTAGCTTATTTTCAATCTTATTCTCTATTATTTCATATGTACATAGATTTTTTTTTTTTATACCATAGTGTAGTCTTGTGGGAGGATTCCTACGTCATAGAGGAATAGAAAAGTAGGAATTAGTTCATCAGAAGACAGCATTAGGTCCCAGGCTTTTCTTTGTGGTATAAAACCACAGAGATATTACTTAAAGCAGCTACTGTGATTCTTGATTGCTGATAACACTTCATTCACTTCTGTCCCCAGTTGGAAGTATGTAAGCTCATCTTACCTCTCTGTACTCTTGCAGGTTTTTCCTCTCCTTGGTTCAATAATTGCTTTTTATTTCCAGAATTTTTGTGTGAAACTTAAGACTTTTATAAAGTGCATAATTTTTTTTATTACTGTTTTTTTTTCCACCTGTCAGAACACCCAAGACCTGAATTTTTAAATGATTAAAAAACTCCTTCAGAATAGGATGCCTTGCTAATTGACTGTTCATCTGTTTGCGTTGAATGCAGAGTGTGTTGAATGCAGATTTGCGTTGAATGAGAGTGAATGTTTATTTCCTGTGTAAAGATTATTACTGGAACTGACAAGATACTGGAAGAAATTGTGTTTAACAGAACAATTCTCTTCCCAGTAAATGGCCAAACATATAAAAAGATAATGTTTTTAGAGTCTGTAATACTTTCTCTGACCGTCAGCGAATGAGGGAACTGTAAGATTTGTAGGTATTGTCTTCCTCAAGGTTTGTGCTTGTGTGCATTGTATGCTGGTCACAAAGAACACAGATCTCTGTAACCATCATTCTTCTAATATCTTCTTTCTTATTAAATATTTCCGGTGTTTTTTGTGATTTTTTGTTTTGGTTTGGTTTTTGTTTGTTGTGGTTTTTTGTTTGTTTTTTTTTTTTAGACTGAATCTGAAACGTACCAAGAAGCTAAAAACTTGCTGCAAAGCTACTTACAGCAACATAGTTATGGATCCTGGATTGTGAAGTCTCCACATATCGAGCAGTTCAGTGACTGATACTTAACTGTAGGGTTTGTATTTGCAGCAAGAAAATCATTTCAGAGCTGCTTTTTGTCAACTTAAATACTATTATTAAACCGTCTGTAACAGTTCAGTCGCTTCCAAAAGCTGTCTCATAGGTAGGAGTATCTAACAGCTTTGCAAATCAGATTTGGTTTGCCCCCCAGTGCCACCTCATTTCTGCTCACCCCGCCTCTCCTCCGTACCCTGTGGACCTCTTAAAATGACTCAACATGATTTTTTTCCTGTTAGTTTCAGGGTTGCTGCGTATTGATTTCTTCTTTTTCCCTGCCTTTTCCATACGATACCAATGTGAGCAGCTGTTAAGTTACATAGTGTTTTCATACATCAGTAGTAGTATAGTGTTGTAGTCATGTTTCAGCTTGTTATTCTAAGAGGTTTCTAAAATAAAACTGCCTTCTGGTATGGTGTGTAGTTCTTGTTGTTGTTTTGATCTGATTTTTCTAACTAGGATGTGGAGTCTTTAGTGGAGATGATCTTAAACGAAGTGCAAGTTGTTGAAACTCGCTGACTTTACTGCTTGGTCCTTGACGTTTTTTCTTTTGTATTGCTATTTTGTTTTCTGTTACTATCTTCTAACTTGGTGGTGCGTGGTGTTTTTTTGTTGCATTTTGTTGTACATGTGCCACATAGTATTTGGTCCCTGTAATGTTTCCTGTGTAAGAATGCTCCAGAATGGCTGGAGCATAGCATTGCCTTTTTTTCAGGGATATAAAAACGTCAATAAATTTCTTTGACAATGTGTTAGCTGTATATGTATGTGTCATGAGTGACATACATGTTAAATCTGACATACCATGTAACATACCTGCAGCATGCCACATATGTTAGTGCTTTATATACTTCTGGAGCATTTTTCTGTATGGCCTTGGACTTCTTCTGAGACACTGTCGCCAAGGTGTTTTCTGTAGTTAAGCTAGAAGCCTGAAATATGCACAAGTAACTCTGCTTTTTTTTTGTGAACTTCATCCATTTTATTAATTGATCAGCCAACCACAACATCTATTAAACTTGGGTTTCTTCTTAGGAGGAGAGAGGTTCCATTGTTAAACCGTATCCTTGAGGCGTGAGTTGATGACAACAGTATGGATCCAGTGCTTGTTATATGGGTTGTTCTTTGTTTAAGTAACAGCATGTGCAGAATGCACTGAGCTCATAAACATAAGCACATATGTGTTCCAGCCAGGTTTTTCCTCAGCTACTTCAGTTATTCCAAAATGCGTGATTCTACAAGCTTGAGAGAAGCAAGAGTGCTGTGGTTCCAGTAATGATGCTGAAGGTGTATTACTGACAACAGGTACATGCATGTCATACATATGTACATAAAAACGTGGCTGGCTGCACAGACTGAAGGCAGGCATGTGAACATGAATAGCACCAGCAGCCTCCACTTGAGAGCTTGGCCTCTCCCCTCTCTGCTTGAGAAGCATGGAGGTCCACGGTGGAAGTATAAATACACAGGCAGCTATAGGAGTGTGTGCATGTGCATATTCTCTCTCTATAGACATGCCTGCTGTACCTATGTACATGTCACATTATGTCATGTGTCAGATGTCACACAAGTGTCAGATGCATAATATGTATGCTAATGTCATATGTCACACATCATGTAACATGTCACAGTGTCACATACATATCCCATAGGTGTTACAAACTACGTGTGTGTTGTGTGGCATGTGTCATGGTGGGGCACATGTCACAATTTCATATTAAAGCTGTGGGCTCAAGCAGGAGAAGATACCTCAGAAAATGCATTATTGTAAGAGGTTCTGCTGAGGATTTTTAGGAGTTGCAGGAAAAGGTATGTACAGTAAAATTTACCTTGCTATGCATTTCAGAAGCTTTCAGTACAATACCCTTTTTCTCTGGATTTATTCTAAAGCGTGGGCAAATCCAGGAGCCAATCCTGCAGCTGCTATTTAAGTATATGTACCTACATGTAAATCTGACGGACAGGGAGAGTTTATTTGCTGTATGTAGAGTTTATATTTTTATCAGCTTTATCTTACCAGCTCAGAGGTTGCTATGTCTTTAAATTCTTTCGCACTTTGTTTAAAGGAGATATTTTTTCATTCTTCTTGCATGTTGCTTTTAAGTATTTATCAAATAAGGAAGCAATGTAATGAGAAGCATTATTCTATGAAGATTGGCAAGGTTGAAAGAATTTTTACAAACATTTCTTGCCTGTTTTCTCACCTTCTGTGTTACACTGTATTTAGGTATTACTGTTACTTCAGGCTGTCATTTGGAAAGCATCTGATTTGAGCTGAGGGTGGAGCTGCTCTGTTTGTGATGGGATGACTGACAGTATTTTGCTTTTCTGAGTCTTTGTGGGTGGGGACAGAGCACTCTTCACTGCAGGAAGAGAAGCAGAGTAACAGATACCAGCGCTGTAAGTATTTTCCCAGTTTTGGCAGAAAGCTATCATTAACACCTATTTTCTCTTTTCAGCATTCAAGAAAAGTGCTGGATTTTCCAGTGTTAGTCTGTTTTTAAGTATAACCTGAAATACTTCATAACACACCCACCAGCAAAACACATCAAAGACTAAATGATAGGCTGATAACTATTGTAGTTGGCTTACTTTGATCAGTTACAGGTTTGTATTGTTAGTATTGAGTGGTGGGGTTTGGATTGCAAAAGATAGTCCTCTTAGTTGTTTCTTTCTGCATAAAACTTACAATGTCACATGACAGACTCCATCTTCATTTGAAGTAAGCACACTTCTGGTTTCCACAAAAGGATTTTTGTGACTACTGAAGGCAGCATGTGGTCATATGGATTTATACAGTAATCATCAATGGGATGTCAGTTGTTGCTGGAAATGTTTCCCTAGCTCTGAAGATTTTTGAGAACTATATGATTCACCTACATAAACAAGAAGTATGTATCCTACAAAAAAGTACACCAAAAGCATGCGTAGCTAAAGAGAACAGCTCACAAAAGAAAGTTGGGGGCTTTGGGGTTTCTTTCTGGGGGAACCAATTTGGCTCTGTTACTTCTATACCTCACGCTGCATGCTAGCAGAAACTGGTTTGGGGTTGGTTGTTTGTTTGGTTTTTTTTTTTGTTGCTTTATAATGGTTATGTAAAGGTGTCTTGTTTTGAGTCTAGTACTGTACACTTGTGTATTGGTAAATGCCTTTTTTGGGAGGGGGTGTTTATTGTGTTTAAGAAAAAAAGTAAGTCACCAGTGAAAAAGACAGTATAGTTTAACAATGAAGACTCAAGACATGATTTTTATAAGTTACTGAAATTTATTAAATATAAGCTACAAGGAATTTTTGATAGTTTGTTTTGGTTTTGTTTTGTTTTAATAAATAGTTGTCTCTCAAGTTGATTGACAAAGTGAGAACCAGTTAGTTTTCCAAAGTATATTTTGAGCCCGTAGGGCTTACCAAAAGGATCAAATGTGATCTTAGAACAGACTGTCGTATCACCCAGGCTAAGAACATAGAGTGGTCCCAAAATGGGAAGCAAGCTAATAAGCCATAGGGCAAAATACATAAATTAGTCATAATTTAGTATTTAAATAAATAATGTAGCAGTAAAAATGGTTATCTGCTTATTTTATCATAGATCTCAGAAAGTTGCTCAGATCTTGGTGAAATGCAGGGAACTTCTTCTTGTCATTAGCTTCACAGATCTTGCATCCAGTTCCTTGGGGAATTAGGTCCTGCAATACACACATTTTTGTTGGTTGGTGATAGCTCTCTTGTCAGCTAGTTTTAGCAATAAAGCATCAACTTCTCTTTTCTTTTAAGAAAAAAGAACCCTTAATATTTCAGGGGATTGGCTTTTTTCAGTTGGCAAGTCTTAAGGGATGATATGATGTAGCGGCTGCTTATAAAAGAGACTTTTGTAAATGAAAGACTACAGTAAGCTAAACAAACTCTATGATAAATACTGCAGCAGAGGTAAATTTTTAAGTTTTATTTTGTTTGTTTGTGGGTTTTTTTTTGTTTTTTTTTTTTTGGTTTTTTTTTTTTTTTTTGACTAGGTAAAAAGGTTGCCTACCATAAGACCCTGGAGATTCTTCTGGATATTTCGAAGATTATCAACATCCTCATCGTCAATCTCATTTTCCAAGGTGCCCATTTCTGTCAGGTAACATTGCAAAGTTTGCCAGCTGCACTCCTAAAACAGTCAGAAAAATCGTTATATCTATATGTATATATATTGTTTCCTGAGGACAGTTGATTCAGTTTAAAAAAATCTCAATTGCCTGTTGTTTTTGTCGTTATATCGGGAATTAAGCTGTTGGTTTTCTGAAGCGTATAGTTCATCTGTTGCTCTTAATTTGTGTTGTAAGAAGTTACATGTTTTCTTAGTTCTATGGTATTTTATTGTAGCTTTTGAAAACTGAGGAGTCTTCCAGGACACTCAGAACATCTCTTGGGAACACGAAGCTGTAGTATTTGCTCATGAACCAAATTAGCAAATTGGTCTTGCTTGTCATGTGGAAATCATGTCTTAGCAAAAGTGTTTATAGTCAAAGCCTCTGTCAGTTTTGTAGTGGCCTTTTTAGAGCCATCTTCAGATAATGCACTTTGGTTGTTTTATCTAATGTCTGCATCCGATCTGGCTTTTGAATATGATAACTTTATGCATCACTCTTCCAGGCTATTTCATCACTTGGTGACAATAATACTAATCAGCGTCATGCATTTGCTCTTAAGCACTGGAGCTCTGAGATAGCAACATCTACATGTTGTCAGTGATGAGAAAAATGACTCAGATAAGGAAGTGGTTGCAGAATCTGGCTTTAAATCTTCACTGACACAAAATTACTGTGAAGTGAGAATTCTTCTGGATTTGAAACTTCTTTGTAGGTTCAAAGTAGTTAACAGCTAACTTCTGTAAGGATTTCTACTTCCCAGTGCTAAATAACCTGATGCTCTTTTTCATTGGTCTACTTGCACGCTTAATTAAACAGGAAAGGTACTACAGATCAGTAGCCTGCCCATGATGAATAGA